TATATATATATATTATAAGCATATTCTGCAGGTTTATTTTTCCTGCTGTATTCATATATACTTTTTGTTTGTATATATTTTTTTCTGTATTTATATATTCACAGATTACACTTATTCATTTAATTTTAAGCCTAACTATAACACTTAATGTGGTTGAAACAAGAAAAAAACAATTTGCCAGTTGGGTGAGAAAAAAATACACTCAAAATAGATTATCTGTCTTACTGTGTTGCTTTCCAAGTACATGCATCTTGTTTTCCAGTAAAAATATGTAAACATCCTTAACGATATTGATTGTAGTATTGATTTGATGCAGCGCTGTGATTCTAACGCACCTGTGGTCTCCTCTCAGATCTGTCCACGTACCCTCATTACCTGCGGGATCTCTTGCACACTCAGGTGTGTCAGGCTGATATCCCAGCATTCATTTCTCCTGCAAGTTTAATGTGTTCTGCTGTGGCAGACCGTAGAGAGTGAAGGGAATGGAGTTTCTCGTCTCTTGTACAGCTAGAGTTTACAGGTTTACACCGTGTTCTAATCAGATGCGTTACGACATGCTTCCAGCACCAATTAACTGTTGAAGGCCAAATGCTGCTGCGGCGCGACGGTCAAAGACAATCAGGACATATTTGATCTTTAATATATAACCACCGTTCTGGTAAAGAGAAACTCTCAGCCAAATGATGGTGAAGGGAAAATAACACTGAAGTGACTGACCTGTTACTTTACATTAAAATAAATGCAACATAAAGAGTTCATGCCAATTATATTTATGTACACAATATACATAAAAAAACACCTATTTGTTATATCATTTTAATGTCTTTTCTTGGTGTTTATTTTAGTTTTTATATATTTATTCATTTGTTAGTTCATTCATTTATTAGTTTATTTATTATTACTACGGGATGGATGGATGGATGGATGGAGAGAGATAGATAGATAGAGTGAGATAGATATGTGATTATATAAGACCACAAACAATATCAGGGGAATTTTTTTTTTATATATATATGGGTGAGAAAAAAATACACTCAAAATAGATTATCTGTCTTACTGTGTTGCTTTCCAAGTACATGCATCTTGTTTTCCAGTAAAAATATGTAAACATCCTTAACGATATTGATTGTAGTATTGATTTGATGCAGCGCTGTGATTCTAACGCACCTGTGGTCTCCTCTCAGATCTGTCCACGTACCCTCATTACCTGCGGGATCTCTTGCACACTCAGGTGTGTCAGGCTCACCTGCGGGGGCATGGCCTGTGTGAGGCCGAGAGCGGCGTGGGCACTGACCTTTCACCTCCCGTGGGGTCGCCGGGGTCGCCGTCGGACACACTCTGCTCCAGCATGTGCAGTTTGGACGAGAGACACCCGCTGCTGCGACCGGGGCCCGCCGCCGACCTCACTGCCAAGATCCTCGGCGCTCTTCAGGGAGGGGAGGAGCTACTGTTAGCCCGCCTACACAGTGCGGGGCACAGGCGAGGCCACTCCCCCTGTTGCTTGGAAACGTTTTCCGAGACATTCGAAGACGAAGACACGCCTTGTAAGGACTGCGGAGGCGGAGTCTGCCTTCCGCCGGAATATTCCGCACGCAGGAAGGTATCGGACGTGGCTTCGTCCGGCGTTGTTTCGCTCGACGAGGAAGAAGAACGAGAAGAACAGTGACGCCCCTCAGCCAGACGTGCATGTTTATTTCGGACTCCGCCCACTAATTTTCATTTAGACTCCGCCTGTTGATTTGCATTTTGGACTCCGCCCACTTATTCGCATTTTGGGCGCCAGTTGCTCTCGTTTTAATTCTGTATTTTCGAAAACACTGAAACTTTCGTTCTCAGGCTCACGTAAAAAATGCATCTTGAACTTAACGGAGGAACGCAAGGCTGACGTCGACCTCATTATCATGCATGTGTCGCAAGTGCCGAACTGAACGAAGTCCTAGACGTTTGGATCTGGACGTCCAGCAGCTGTTTAGCACAGTTTGTGGATTTGGCTGTTGTGTAACCCTGCTCCTCATGTGACGTCAGGCCCCATTGCATTCTGGGTCTTTATCACATGACCCCTGTTCCCTGGTCCCCGGTTGGCATGGCTTGCTGATTACGTCAAAAACTCACGAAGCGCGAATGCCGAATGTTTATACCGTGATGTTTCAAAACATAGAATGCGTAAGAATACTGATGATCAAGTTATGCTGTTTTTCTATTATTATTATTATTATTATTATTATTATTATTATTATTATTATTATTATTATTATTATTATTATAAATTGATTATATTATTAAATGGAATGTTTTAAAGCATTATCGTCCTCAGACGAACACAATGAATGTTTAGGAGTTGCTCCAGTGTTGTTGAATCGTAAATGTGGGTCAGTTTGAAGGACTTTCGGAGAGTTGCTCTATTTTTGTACCGTGTGGTTTTTGCGGTGAATTGAGTAACGCTGTGGTTTGTTTACAAGATGCTTGTTTATTGCTTTCTCTTTCTGTCTCTGAATTATCACTGTGTGATATAGTCTACATCAGGAAAAAATAATACTAATGTGAAACGAAACGAATGGCCCTTTTTCTTTCTTTGT